GGGGGGGGGGCGGAGAAAGGGGGAAAAGAGAGGGAGGAAGGGAGGGGAATGAGAACGAAAGACCAATTGCTGCCCTAACAATACTACTGCGGGGGTGAAGCCAGATCAAATGTTTTTTTTCATACTGTTCCAAAGTTATTTACGGTAAAAACCTCCAGCGTGACCCTTTTAGGCACAAACAAAGCCTTGTTCTTTCCTAACAACCAGTTGCTTGATTTCCCACACGTTATGCTGAACAATGAGGCTGGAGGCACAGGATAAAGCAGATGACATCAACCTCCCTCGAGTCGGAGACTTGTTTGGGAGCCCAAATTCTGGTCTGTGGCCAGCTGGCTGATTTCACAGAGGGTTCTACTGTCTAGGCTGCCAGGCTGCGTATGCATATGGGGGCAATGGCTCAGGATCAACCACCAGTCAGCAATTCACACAAGAAACAGCATAGAAGTCATCGCACCCCACCAAATTACCTTTATAAATCTGTTCCATTTTCCTAGAAATTAGACTGAGTCTTCAGAAGTCATCATAAAGACATAGTGTAGCAAATTCAAATTCTAAGCAGCCCCCTTCTCTAGATCTAGTAGACCCATTCACGTCAAATATAAATTTGAAAGAGATATATTTTTTCCAACAGAAAAAGCTCAGCCCTCAGTACAGACACCAGTAATAATAAGCTGAAATAGAACTGTTCCAAATAAAACCATTTCAAAACTACAGCATACATATACACACACCATCTTTTACTACAGCTGGGGGTGGAGGGACAGTGATAAGTCAATGGTTTCCCAACTGCCAAGATGCTTGATAATTTTTAGGCTTAAATTGTGATAGGCCTATGATTCAAGGCTGAACTCTTCAAATGATCTGTTTGGCTTTCTCATCTATAAGCTAATTGGGAAAGACTGGGACCATAACTGGGTATAATATCCAAATAAAAATAATCTCATTTAGCAAAATGAATTGTTAATTAGCATTAGCAGTCTTGAAAAATGACAACCAAAAAGAAGCTTAGACCAATTAGATTATTTGGAAGAGGCTGAAAAAGTATAAATGACTGAAATTATTACCATCAGACTTTTCTTTCCTTTCTGGTGGTAATTATGACAACTCCTCACAATGCTTTTTCTCTTGCTGTAATCTATTTCCAAAGTATAAATTGCCCTT